AAGGTCCTGCCAGCATTGCCACCACAGCTGGGACTCACCTCACCCTTCCTCCTCCTCCCTCTGCCTCCCACACTCACCCTCTCGCTCCATTTGTTCTTGTTGCCAGGCGTGTAAGCAGTTCCTCCTCACCAACATTGTAATCTGCATTGTTTGGGGTTATTGTATGTGCCTAAAAGAATGAGGCTTGAGGGGCAGGTTATCCTTTGTTGCACCAAGTAGCAAAGAGCTCACTGTGGAGCTCATAAGGAGAGGAGGATTGCAGAGTGGAGTCCTGCTGCTGCTGCTGGCTCTGACAGCCTGATTTAGAGGTGCCTTCTCTTACCTCTGACACAGAGTCCCAGCCTGCCCCGCTCTACTGCAGGGCCGGGAGAAGAATAGTGGTGCTTAATCTGAAAGCCTGTTATTTGTGTGTGCGTGTTTGTGCGTGTGTGTGTGTGTGTGTGTGTGAGAGAGAGAGCTTTTTCTTGAATGTGTGTTTGCTCACCCAGCATGCTGGCATTTCTTTTTAACAACCTCCTTTGTCAGTCACTGAGATGTCGGAGATTGCGTGAGCACAGCAGATCTCTTGTACTTCACCAGTGTACGTTGACACACGTACACACATACAGTTTTTGAATGTGTGCACGCGTGTGTTCTGTTGTCCAGATGGAAGTGCTTATTGAGTGCTGGTGTGCTGGCAGATCTCTGTCTCAGAGAGAGCGGGAGAAAATAAGTGAGAGAAAGAAGGAAAATGAGGAAGAGAGAAAGCCAAGTGGAAAACCCTTCCAATCAGATTCATCATCTTTTGTGTGTGTGTGTGTTAATGCAAGTGTATGTGTGATCTTCCTGCCTGCCTTCCCTTCTCTAATCTTATCATGTCGGAGCAGCAGATTAGTTCTCCCAGATCCCATCTCTGCCTCCAAATGCCACAATCAGCCTTTTGTTCTTTGGTTGTGCTTACTCTCCTCTGGTGGCAGACGAGGTGAAACACTCCCACAATCCGCCCTCTGTGCCATTTTGAGCCTCCGCCTGTCAATGTCACACGGCTACCAGCCCTGATCTTGCCATACCTGAACCTCCCTTGCCAATAGGGCGTTAGATAACTAAGCTGTTAGCTCAACAGCCTGCTAGCCGAGCTGAACTGCTTGACATTCCTGGCTAACACTGAGCTGCTGCTGCTTCTGCTGCTCTGTTTGACCTCCCCTCTTCCCTCCCTCCCTCTCAACCGTCTCCTTTGTCTATGTATTTGGGATCCTTCTTTCCTTCCTTACTTCTGGCTGCCACCTTCTGAAGGAAGTCATAGATCTCGGCTGCTGAAATCACCAGCAAAGACGGGGGGTAGTCACTAACAGGGTTAGCACAGGAAGAAGAGAGTGTTTGAAAAGTAGAGAAAATAAACAGAGGTTTCCTGTTAACGAGGTGCACTGGGGGCCTGTCGTGTGGGAGCGGGAGCGTCTGGTTTTGTTTAAAGCAAAGCTCTAGTGTTACAGTGCGGGGAGGCGGAGAAATGGGGAATTAGGTTTGAGGGTTACAGGTTGTAACAACGTTCCCTCAGTTTTGTCGCAGCTCGGCTTTGCTGCGAGGTAATGACCATATTGTAAAGGCCACAGTGAACAGATGTGGGAGAAGTAGCGTGCCGCTGTGCTCTCACCCAAATATTAAAAAGATTGACAGGAGGAGGTGTTAGTGTTAGCATTGGTTTTTGTAATAAAAAACACTGTATTGATTTCACACTTTCCCTCTTGAAAACACAGAATTAATCTATTTAAGTGTCAACGGCTACACAGTTCCTCCAGAAGAGCTGGTTTCTTTTCACATTTAAAGCCTGTTCTTGTAAAAAGGAACGTCTGCCCTCTGCATTTCCCTCTTTACCTCAAGTCTTTGTAGTGGTGTGGTCATACACAGAGGCCCCAGCTCCAGAGTTGACTGCACACATGCAGTCACACAAAGAAAATTGCACAGCCATTATGGATCCAAGGGGCCAGCCATCTTTTTAGATTCACAGAGGGAGAATTAACAGATTCACACAATGGCTGATTTGTCCAGGCTGCTTTTAGAGAAGCATTGATTTACTTTTTATTAACAGAGATTCATTTCAGAATCATCGTGAAAGAAATATTCTCTACAACCTTGAAATATTTTCCATCCTATAGCTTCCTATAATCAAACCCCTGTATTTGGAGTGTGCCCAAGAATGCCATGGCCTAGACTGAGCCACTGGAGGGAGGGGAGGAACCATTGTATTCAGCCCCAAAGCATGACTCTCAGATTTATATCTCCTCAGTGGATAAAGGGGTAGCCTTGTACCCTGGGGGTTTCAGCAAAGCAGGAGGAGGATAGTTGTAATTTTGAGTCAGAGGAAATGAGAGAGTCCTGCTCCTCCCACCTTAATCCAACTGCTTTCTCTCTCTCCTCATTTTCCTCAATCTCCTTTCCTTCCTTGCACTTTTCTTATTTTTTTTTTCTTCTCTGGTTTTGTTTAATTTCTTTCTCAGTAGTGGGTTAGTAAGTCTTTTGGCCTCTCTGCAGTGAGGAGCATTCCCTGGGTTTAGGGCCCAGGAGGAGGGAGGGTAGGGCCATGTTTAGCCTCTGGCAGGACAGACAAAGATGGCTGACATTGTGCGGGGCTCTACAGGCAGCATGGAATGTCTCTAATCAATTCAGCTTTGTGGTTCCCCTGTTATATATTCTCTCTCTGTCATTTTCTATGGCGGGCTTAGCAAAACCCAGACAATACAACTTGGTAGTTATTGTGGCGATTCTGAGCTGTCTATCATCCCCCTTCATTTTCTCCTGGTGTTATCGTCTCATTTTTCCACCCCGCATGTTTATAGAATTGTGATAATTGAAAGCTATGCTTTGCTCCCACTACATACTCCATAGGCTGCGCTCCGTCTTTCTCTCCATCTCTCTCAATCTTCCTCCCTCGTTTGCCTGAGAGGGCTTAACGCTTCTGTGAGCTTCTAAACAGCAATCTGCTCTGGAGAGCAGCAGCTACTCTGCAGCGACGAGGATACTGATTATAGCTGAAGTAACAGTCGCGCTCTGCTTTGCTCCGTTTGGTTGGCTTGAAATAATGCAGGCTCATAAATAAGGTGCAAAACCCATGTGTGTGTCTTTCTGCCTGTTTATGCTTTTTCTGTTTGCACTGGGCTCCTCAAAATACATTTGATTTTGTGGTTTTACAGGCAGAAAATGAGATGTTCAGGTAGCACTCTAGCAACATTTACAGTCTCCTATAAGTATTAATTATGTATAAGCATCAGATAACTACTCTCACTGCTCCGGCAGGCAGCCTGGAGTGTTGAAGGCAACATTGTCTGTACATCAGATAGACAAGAGGTTGGAATGGGTGGGGGGGGACACGACGTCATTGCACACATTTCTTCACACACAGTATGTCTACGTGCTCGCAGGGTCTGTGTCTCAGCCCATCAGTGTGGCTCTCTGCTGAATCACAAGCCAAAACGTGTGTGTGATTGTGTGCTGTCCTGCACACTCTGGCACAATCATTCAAAGTCGGTAAATGCAGCTGACTGACTACTTGCCAGCTGCTGTTAACACGTCCGGGGCTCACTTTCTCCCTCGTTCCTCCTCCCTGTTTCAAGGTTGGAGAAAGTGAGGAACGGAGGAAGAGAAAATGGTGGAGAGGTGGTGGAGTGGAGGGTTGGACTGAGAAAGGTGGAGGAGGGAGGGAGGAAGAGGAGGAAGGAAGGAGTGGAGAGAATTGGAAAAACAGAGGTGGACTTGAGGGTTTAGGCAGATGATGATTTGCTTGGCTGCGTGTGCTCAGTCTCCTCCCCAGTGACATAACAGAACAATGTACTGTAAAAGGCTTTAAATATCTTAACCCTGACCTCATGCTCCTGCGTGCACACACACACACACACACACACANACACACACACACACACACACACACACACACACACACACACACACACACACACACACACACACACACACACACACACACACAGACACACAGACAGATGTAAAGAGGCTGGAAAGTGCAGATGTTAAATTGTCTGTCTTAAATTACTTTTCCCCCTCTTCAATTTTTTCCATATGCTCATTCCTCCTGTACTCCCCGGGTGGTGCAGGTGTCTCACTCGGTTAGTTCAGTGCATTGCAGTGCAGCCGAGTCCTTAATAAAGATGGCTGGGGCCAATAGGACTGTGTCGCAGTCTAGCACCTAGCGCGGCAGTTTCTCTAATGTTCCTCTCAACCCACTGTGACGGTCAGTTGGGCTTATGTGAAAGTACAATAAATATTTTATAACATGAAATGAAAACAGTATTTTGCCCTTTTCATCTCTCACCTCAGCACTGGCCTCAGTTTCTACTATTTTCTTCCCACACACACACACACACACACAGAGAAAAAACACACATTCTCACCCCATAGACCCCCTCCCCTTCTTCCCTCTCTATTTTTTCATTGACTGGTCCTAGAAAAGCTCTCTTCTCACCTCAGTGCTGCCACTTGCTGGTCTTCTAGAGAGTTACAGGCCTTTGCCTACTTGCACTGTATTGAATGGCCAGTAGGTGGCAGCACCCAAGGAGTAGACAGTCCAAAGAGTGCTACTCTTGATACTGAGAGATACTGTACCTGTGCATGAGTAAAATAACAGTGCTTCAAAATGATTTCGTAGCTCATTAGAGTATTGTCTGTAAGTGAGGAGGACCCTTGATTTGTAGATACCAAAGATTTAACACTTATCCATCTCCCTCTTGCTGCTTCTCCCTCTATACTCCCTCCAGCAACGGCCATCCTACTGTTTGCTTTATTAAAGCTCTAAATGCTCTGCAATCCCTTTTTAATTGACTTGGTCTCCCTGCATGCTTTTTGGCTTCAGCCAATGTGTCTCATAACCAGTGTGTCTGCACAGCATCACCGTTTGCCAAGAGGCCAGTTTGTGACGTCGTAATCACACAAAATGATGTCTGTTTATTTGTGTGGGATCTTCTTTTTTTTTCTCGGTCACCTGCTAACTCGCTCTATGTCTCTCTGTGTTACAGAGTAAACGGGACCATCTGCTGATGAATGTGAAATGGTACTACCGCCAGTCAGAGGTGCCCGACTCTGTGTACCAGCACCTGGTGCAGGATCGCAACAATGAGAACGGTGAGACAGGCCCTGTATGCGCTGAATGTCAGCCATGCATGTGTATATACACAGTACACAAACTCCCACACACAAAGTAAACACTTTTGCTTGCTCTGTAACACAACACTCTTCTCCCCCTTCACAAACACACACACACCTGCCTCTGCTCTCAAGATTGCTAAAAGATATATAAGAGTGTGTTGCATTTCAAACACAAACCAGATGATCGTGTCCCAGGCCGCAGAGCCAATCCCAAGGCTCTGTTCTGTTCCCTGGGTAACGCTCCTTCAGGCCAGACAGCAGCACTGTCAAGTGTTAATAACCCACAGTGTCACGAGGCTGTTGAGCGCACGCAAGCACGCACACACACACACAAACACACAAACACACACACACACACACCCTCTCTCACCCTCTCAACACTATCAGTGCCAATGAACTCACCACACTCTAACACATACACTTCTACAGGGACATACACTCAAACACTGTCACAAATATGAAACCCTGATGACAAAAATGAAATGGAGTAAAGTCAGATTTAATATTGACTTGCAATACTTGGAGTGTTGACATATATTCAACCTATTTTTTATTGCTATTTTGAAAAAATTATTATTATTTTATCGCCTAGCTGATGTTGATGTTATACTTATACTCACAGTTAGTGTTCTCGTTACAGTATTTGAATATAGAGATATTTAGAGTTTGATTTATAATGTCATAAATATTTTTCAAGAGTACAAACCTTTTGTTTTATTTCTTTAAAGAGTGTGTCTATTCAAGCTTAGTAAAAGGGGAAAGCATCAGTGTGTGCGTATTCTCACAAAGCTCAATCGCCCGCTGACAAATCCTGTTAGCAATCGTCTCTTCTCATTAACTAGCACGCCCGTAATGGTTGAGCTTTTCTCAGAACACAGTCACCTCTAAATATATTCAGAATAAAAACCAGAGAGCAAGTGTATATGTTACAACTTCACATGCTGCTATGTTGTATTTCCTATCCTACAATGATCCCAGTATCTCCTGTGACAGAGGAAAGACTTAAATTCGGGTGTGTCATTGAGGTTATCAACCAAACCCCACGTACGCTGCTCCCTCCAGACAGTTTCAGTGCAACTCGACACTCTGCTATTTGCAGTCCGTCCTCACAGCGGGGACGTGGGATTATTAGAATTGATGTCACAAGGCCGCAGCACAGTGGCCACAGCACGTAACAACTCAGGTCATTTGTCAACGACAAGTCCCGGCTCATTCTTGGTGCAGCTGATGCGTCTTAACCCCACATGGGTCATTTCACTGGAGAACTGAACATTATGTCCTCTCCTCAGGGAGCTGCTCTTTATTGGCTTTATTGAATTATGTGGCATAATATTGACCTCCACTGAGGTACTTGTTACTTTGCTTGTACGCAGAACTGATCTAGCCCATTTATTAGTGAGTTCAAATACCCAGGCTACTCAATCTCTGTTGTCTCCGTCATAGATGAATGAATTTGGTGTAGTAGTATTATCCATATAAACTATAGATATGTATTCAGTGCACCGTGTGTTTTCCTTCCTGCAGACTCTGGCCGGGAGCTGATTATCACAGACCCAGTGGTCAGGAGTCGAGAACTCTTCATCTCTGACTATGTGGACACTTATCATGCTGCTGCTCTCAGGTAAACAATCAAACATGCACACACTGGCAGGTTCATGTCCTTATCTGTGTTAGGAGATAGAAGGTGCACTTGAAAGAGAGACTACAAGTCTCCCACTTGTTTCTTGACTCTCTGTGTTTAGTCCAGTAACATCATTGCTGCTGCAGTTGCATTGTTTGAAGTTATGGTACAGACTTCCTGTTTACCACACTCGGCTTTTATTTGTGATGTTAAGTTGCATTCGTATGTCGAGTGTTTGTTTTTTTTTAACCTTATGGAAAAGTCAGGTACCTCTTTTGATACCATGGTTTGGATATTTAAAGTCCTGTATGACATGAGCTACATTTACCCATAAGTTATATATGTGCACATTGTATGATTACGGTTTATGCTCTTAATGTGCTGTTACACCAACAATTTACCTTTCATGCAAATACTGTTGTAATATATTCAAGCAAACTGAACACACTATTATAATTAAATTCTTTTCAGTCTGCTGTGAGCCAGATTATGGAGCTTTATGTATAATTTATAATTCCATTTGCTGTCTTCATCCTAATGTATATTTTTGAACAGGGACAGGATGGTAATGATGCGGCATTATTCCTGTGTTATGTGTTAGATGTATTATTCTAACAGTAAAGAGCTTTTTTGTATGAGTAATTTACAGGTAAATAACAACTCTAATAATTGTGAAGAGAGCATCTAGTAAATTCTGCCAGAATAGACCAAATGTGAGGATGCAAAGCAATGAGGGCCCACATGCCTTCTGCTACCTCACATTTAAACACTGATTAAAATGGCCCTGTATCAACTCCCCCACACACACGCCTGTCTGAACATGAGCCTGTGTATAGGGAAACTGATGGCACATACTCGGTGAAGGTTTCATTATTTTCTTGCTTTGAAATCATTCTATGTCCCTGCCTCAGTCTCTTCATTCATGCCTGTCTGGACACCCCCCCTCCTCATCTCCCACTTCCTCCTTTTCTTAAACCAAAACCATCTGTGAGCAGCACAGCGGCGGGCAGTCAAAGCCATGTCTTACAGAAACCACTGATTTCAGGGCAAATTAACTGCAACTTCTCCGACACAGAGTACCCTTTGATTTGACTTATTCTCTAGGCTTTAGATAAATGGGAGGGAATTCCAGTGGGATGCTGTAATGCTGCAGCTCTGCGAAAAGACGGCCCTCCTCACCACCCGTTAATCTTTTTTAGGGGGGGAGGAATGATACAGCCTCTCTGCAAGGCAGCCCAGCTCCATATGCCTGAGATGTCTGCTGGTTTTTTGATTTGAGCCAGACACCAGGGTGCGGGAAACAGGAAATGGCACCAAGATGTGTTCAGAGCCTTTACCCTCTTAGCTCACTCGGGGGGTTATCATGGCGGGGGGGAGGCAAACAGGTTGCTGCCCATCCAGATCTCTGCAGTGTCTTGTCTCCTACACCTCAGCTGCAGCAGTCGTGGCAGAGCTGACATATTCAGCTGGTGTGTACGTGTGGAGTAGCTGGAGTCTGGTGTCTCGCAGCAAAGTTAGCAGGCATTGACAGGAACCAGATACCTGCTGCTGTATATGTCACCTCCAGTAAATTAACACCCCAAGAGCTTCTAATTAGAGCCACGTCTGCTCCTTCCATGGTATCACACAGTTGTTTTTTGTATAATAAACCCTGTCTTTTCTCTCACAGGGGGAAATGCAACATTTCCCATTTCTCCGACATTTTTGCTGCCAGGGAGTTCAAAGCCCGCATCGACTCCTTTTTCTATATCCTCGGATATAACCCAGAGACCAGGTGAGGAGCTTTCTGTCACTTCCACTCACACAGAAAGGTACTGGGTGAGAGACTAATCCTCCCCCATGACACAAATCCTGAATAAACTCTGCACAACACATAATGAAATTAAAATATGGCTGCAACTGATTATTTTCATTACCAATTAATCTAGCAGATATTTACTGATTAATCTGTAAATTATTTCAGAAAATTGTAAAGAATGTTCATCACAATTTAATGATTTTCAAAGTGGCTTGTTTTTTTCTGACCATCATAAATATTTTAGCGATTATGGCTTGATATATTCCACATGTCGAGACAAGATGTTTTTGATTATGTAGTATCACAATAATAACCATAACACCTCCCAAATTAGAATAAAAATCCCATCATACTTTTCACAATGTCACCCAGCTGTAGCAAAAGCACACATGATAAAGAAGTCATTTTTCACCAAGCTTGAGCTCTCTGTTGTTTGGCTTTTGTGGCACAGTAGTGGGTCTAATGATGATGTCTGTTCATTACAGCTGACTATGTTATCAATGCACAAAGAGCTGTCCTACAATGTGGTTTAATTATGAGGGGAAGAGCTCAGGAAAACTCCCCCATGGCTTTGTAATTGTTTTTAGCGTTTGTTGATATTTGTCAAATTGCACGTCAATTTTTAATTACAGATCTTTTTGGGTTAAGATTAAGACTGGAAATGAAAATCTGCGAGGAGCTCAGCTGCTGTGTTTGAAATCATTGTTTGATCAGGATGAAAAGGACACATCTCAGTTGGAAAAGTAGAGCTGTGAATAATGAAATTACTGACATTCATTTAGCTGCTTTAGTCTCTTGATCCTTGTATTGTGGAAACTGACTCACTGACGATTAATTACTTAGGACACATCCATCAGTTGTTCCATCAGAGTTTTTAGTAGTACTGCCATGACATTCGAAAATGTCGTCCGTGAAAAATACACATTCTCTCATACTAATAATTATTTACTACATTAGTCTCATCATGCTCAGTGTTATTACTGTACATTTGTAAACTTCATTCTAAAAATGAAGAATATCCTTGTTATTATTCTTCTCCTGAAGAATAATTAGCATAAAAGAATGAGTTTGAGGTTATCCAATAAGTTCAGTGACAGTTTTTTGTTGTTTATATTTTAGTTTGATTCTGTGTGTTCTTTCATGTATGTCACTGATATTTGTATTCGGCATAAAGTGACCCTCGTTGACTGATAATAGTTTTCAAGCTGATGTGCATAAAACCTTTGACTTTGATGTAGACTTTCTTATACCTGGTCAGCTTGGCAGCATTATGAAATGGTTGAATAGCCTTTGCAGCAAGTGTGATGGACTTGAGCGGCTGTGGCTCAGGAGGTATAGAGGGTTGTCCACTGACCAGGGAAGTGGTTCGATCCTTGGCACATCTGGTTGGCGTTTCGTCCTTGAGAAAGATACCGAACCCCAAAATTGCCCCTGACAGCTATATGAATGAGGAATGGAAAAAGCGTAGAATATAGTGCTGTATGAATGTGTGTCTGAATGTGACTCGTACTGTAATGTGCTCTGAATAGTTGATAAAACTGGAAAATACATATATAGATTATAAATCCATATATAAATCCCATTTATTCCACTTTGTATACCTGGCTAATTCTGTGCTATAGCAGATGGGATATTCCAGCCAATGTTTTTTTTTTTTCAATACAAAATTGCAGTATTACATACTTAAATGGGATTATTTGGGGGTTGAGTAGCTGTAACATATTTGTACATTCACAGCTGTATTTAAATAAGCAAGCAGTTAAGCTTTTTATCACAATTATAACTTACCTTTGTGTAAGTTATAATTTACCCAAATGAAGACATTTTTTGGACAAACTTGTGAGGAGTGTTAGCATGATGAGCTGCTGGATTGATTTCTGTGTTCAATGAAAAGTAGTTATTATCCACACTGGTTGTGTCTGGAGAGGTTCACGTGTTGCAGTGACAGATGTCCTTGTTATTGGTGCTGAGGGTTGCCAGTTGGGAACCCCCTCCTTCAGGGGCCCTGCACACACAGTCTACCGCTCCCTCCCTCCTCTGATCGCTTGGTATTCAGTGCGGGGTGTCTGCAGCCTTGCAATTTCACTCTTGTTTATTATGGCACAGACATACGAGAAGATATGAATTCCGTATCCTGCATGCGTGTCTGTCTGTCTGCCTCCCTCCCTTCGCGCGCGTGTGTGTGTGTGTGTGAGAGGTCGCAGCACATGCTCAGTAGTGTCTGTGGAGCAGCTCGCGGAGCTCGCGTCGCTGTACGTGCAGGCTGAGGTCACAGCACAAGCTCAGTGAATACCTCTCCGGAGCGAATGCGTGCTTCTCCATTTTGAGCACCTAGAAATAGGTGGGAGAGGGGAGTTAAATCCAACGAGCATTGTTACACACACAGTGTCACCACCCAACCGTAGGGCTCGATGTCAGAAATGGACGATCTGTTCAGTCCCAGGAGGTAGGTGTGCCATCATATTCTGCTGCTTTCTTGTGCCATTATTAATCGCTGCGTGCGTCTTGGCTCGTCTTCTTTTCGCCAGCCTCGGTCCTTGCTGTCTGACACGAGTGTGCGTTGTGTGCAAACTGTCTGCGTCGCTGTCATTGTTGTGAACCGACTGTGTTTGTGTGGGGCGAGCGTGCACGTTATGTGGGGCTGTCACCGCACATCGCATACCGTTACGCGTTGTGCGCTGCCATACATGCAAAACCCCGTCGCGTAGCTCTTTTATTCACACTGCTGCCATCACAGCCCCGATGCATGCACGGTGTTTCTCGTGCACAGTGTTGTTAAACGTGCAGCCAGCGTGGTTATAAGACGGCGGTGAGACCCGGAGAGGCTGCCCCTGGCTCCATTTTGCAGCTCGTGTTTACAGTCGGGATGACATGGCGCATGTTACCGGAGCTGCAACACAAAGCTCAGCCGGCTCTGCCGCCAGCTGTGGCTGTGTGCATGCCGCTTGTTGTGGTTCTTAAATACCACCAAGTTGGGTCTGTTTTTGCTGCGCTGCAATTATGTCAGTGTGCCACGGACTCGCTCTGTGATTGGCTGAAATTGATGTAGGGGGTGGGGTTATCCTTGATTGCATACACACACACTCACACTCACACACAAAGTTGACCAGACTGTCACGATGTTGTTTTGGGTTTAATAAGTAAGCCTGTAATTACTTGACAAGATTGTGTGCTCATGTTGAGTCCTGTCTGAAGTTATGTGTGTATCAAATTGGCATGTTTCACATGGTTAATAGTGTGAGGCTTTGAGGAGCTTATTTGAGGAAAAAGAAACATTATTGCTTGGCACAGTATTATAACTGACACTTGTAACAACAGAGATAATGCTTGTATTATGCCTCTGTAATCTTTATTAATACTCTGCATACTGAAATACAAACTTTTTCTGAGTTTTTTCTACAATTTCGTCTACAAAAAGAAACAGAAATACTACTACTACTAATACTACTATAACACCACTACTAACAGTCAAAATAGGTGTTTGCTAGTTGTGGCTCTATTATTAACAACAGCCAAATTTTTCACATGGTAGTTTAGTATGTTTTCAGTGTGTTGTTTCATTTCAAAGATGCCTGCAGTCTGTATGGAAACCTCTGAGGGCCTCTTGCCATGGTACATCAGTATTCTGCCTCCTCTCCGTCTGAACGTCTGCTTTCAGGATTTGCCTGAATAAAACACGGCTGTCTTCAGACACGCTGTTCTTATTCTGGTGCACAGGTTCTCATTTGTCATCCTTACAGCCTCCTGCCAAACACACCGAGGACCCAGCCAACTGCATATTGTCAGGAACACATTTGTAGAACTTTCTGTTCGTAGGAACAGGCTCACTTAGTATTATAAATATATAAACCTTTTCTGTAATGGGAGACTACATGCAGGCATTCAAAAGTACACACACATTTATATATATTATAGACGTTCTCAGTGAGTAAAAAGCAGAATAATGTAATTCTTAGTTTCAAGCTTCATTCAGCTCTAATAAATCCAATGAAACTGGTTTATTAGTTATTTCCACACAACTCACTTGTTAAACCAATTCCAACAGATTCGGCCAAATAATAGCACAAGAAACTTGGGTTGAATAAGGACTGACATTTTAAGTAATCCTTACAGAACCTTTCAATTATAATCTGAAGTGCTGATGACGCAGGAAAACTTGCATATTGGATTTTTATCAGCAGGGTTTATTGCCTTGGGTTCTTGTCGTCTGCCAGATTCTGATTGCTGTACATTTAGTTTGTCTTATCTGCTGAGAATGTTTGTAATAAAATCAAACAAAGTATTTCAACATGTTCTGGAGCAAAAGACTCTGCTGGCAGGCCCCGGGGTCAGTCACTGCAGCTGAGACTCTGTTTTTTTGGCCTGTGCTGATGTCGTCTGTGCCAGTGCTTCTGTCAGCCATAGTTCATAATGATATGGATCACCCCTCTAATCACTCTCCCCTGTCTAAGAGTAGGTGGAGGAGGAGGTCCGTTAAGAAAGAGGGAAAGGGGGGATTGCAGTCAAATATGTAGCCATGATAGAGCTTTGTGGTTGGAGGGCTGTAAAGAGACCAGAGGGCTGTGGCCTCTTAGGTTTCCGCCAGGTCTGCATGATGGAGTGCGAGCTTCTCTGGGTGCAAATCACGCTGACAGATTCTGGGCCGCCCCTCGCTCGGCTGTATGAAAATCGGCGCTGTTTCCTAGGTAACGGAGGGGAAGGCTTTTCAAAAGGAACATCTTGTCATTTTCTTTAATCCACTGCAGCTGGAGATTCGGAACACTATTATTAAATTGCAGTTGCTATGGCTACCAACATTTGCACCAGCAGCCGTTTCAGAGGCTCTCGCCTTGCATATCCAGAGCCAGCTCCCTCCTGCTCCTCCAGCACCTCCTCCTCCTCCTTTTAGGGGATTCTGTTTTATTGCTGTATCCGCAATATCAGGCCTGCAAATGTGCTCGGCTCAGCTTGCTGTGCTCAAGCAATGGCTCAGGAATATTCTCCTGAAATCTTTTTTGCTTTTCTGAATAAAAAACAATGTATTTTGGTCACGTTACTGTTCGATAACACAGTAGAAAGTACAGCCCTTGCCCCCTCTGAATGTACATTATCTTGTCCTAGTCATGATTTGTTAGTTTGTTGTAATTTTCTTCTCTTTTCTTTCGTCCCCAGAAGTAACTTTGTAGTTAGTTGTTAAGCTGATTACACAGGCACTGTGCAGTCTGTGACACTGTGAAAAGCAAGTAAATATTCTGTTTCAATCCGCTCTCTTTGTCTATTCTCAGGCGACTAAACAGCACGCAAGGAGAAATCCGAGTGGGACCCAGCCACCAAGTAAGTCACTGTGCGACACATGAGTCACTCAGCAGCTGACATGAGAGACTTTTTTCCCCACGTCAACAACAGTACAACCTCCACAATCATCACGGCTGAATGGATTTCATTATCACAAAATTTGCTGAATTTTGATAACTGTTCCCTTAACATGTAGACACCATTTTAATCATGATGTCACTAATCATTTAAGATATGTACTGACTTATGTATGTCTTACTATTCAGCTTTGACACAATTTCTACAATATTTGCTCATAATATAAAGATTGCTTTTTGCAATAAAACAAGTAACTATTTTAAGGTGCAATGCATCCAAAATGGTTTATCTGTAAATATATGCAACAGCAATGTGTGCCATTTTGGAAAATTATACTTATTTTTGTAACCACTGTTACCAATGTGGCCAATTTACATAGACTTTTACATGATAATGTTCACCAGTGTTCACCAAGGTTTCTTGTCAGTCAGTCATCTGAATGCAGTCTTGTGTTGTGTTAAGATATTTAATCACTTGTCCCCATTCCCCACTGCCAACACTCAGCCACAGTGAGAAGTTGATGACATCTGGGTGAAAGCTGACTTTTTCTTCAAGCCCACATGCTATTTGTAGTGTGACACCATATGTTCTGCTCTTCTCTTCCTTTCCCCCGTCCTAAATAGGCTAAGCTTCCAGAGCTACAGCCTTTCCCCTCCCCTGGTGGTCACGCTGTAACTGAGAATGAGGAGCTGGTCTGGATGCCAGGGGTCAATGACTGTGACCTTCTCATGTACCTCAGAGCCGCAAGGTGAGACCGGAGGAACATAGAAATTCAGATTTATCAGACAGGGAAAGCTCTAACGTGGTAGGAAGCTATCACCAGTTAGGTGAAAGATAGATGGATGAATAAAGATGTAACCCCCAAAGTCTCCCTGCTGTCAGTGCACTGTTATCTGAGTAGTGTGTGAAAATGAAGATAGCAAAGTCTCATCAGTAAAAGAAATAAAAGCAGTCACATTTATGGTTAAATCAATACACAATTCTTTTTAATGCTTACCAGTATAACACTGACTTATACAGTGCTGTATTCTTGGGGATTACAACACACACATACCACTCAATGTGAAAGCCTTATGATATGTTGAAAGCATAACCTCCTGTTGGATCAAGTGTGCAGCAGGTTCCAGGGTGTGATGGTGATCTCGAGCATAAAAGCAGCTGTTGTTGTTAATCACAGGCTGCATCAACCCCTGCCTGAAATTCTCCGCTCAACACTCCATTCTAATGCAGCAATGATCAATATTGGTAATCAGGTGTTTTGTTTGTCTGCTGGATGGTCCATTCCCCTAAAATTATTACTCAAATATATTGTAAAGAAAAGCAGTAACGTCTCCCTTTTTACAAATCTGGAGCCATAGAGTGATTGGTTATCAAAATACTTGCCTATTAATTTCTGTGAATAATCACTTGTTAAACTAATGTAGCTCCTCACCTCCATTCATAACCAACTTGTTTTCCATAAACCTGCGTTATTGTTTATAGTGGGGATTTTGGGCCATTTTTTAGCAGCTTTTGATATAAATTTAAGAAGTTATTTATAACCATGCAGCAGGTGACAACTGCTTGTTGTCGTCTCTACTGTGCCTGTAAAATATGATTCAAAAAATAATGCTCCTACAAGTATATTAAAGCGAGTGAAGAGATATAACAGCTCTGTGGTAGAACTGTGCATTAGGACGATGGAAAAACATCTCAACATTTCAAGTAATTTTCTGTAGTTATTTGATGGTGTCGTAAAACACTCTACATAGTAATATTTTTCATCGTTTGGATGCAGTAAAACTGTAGGCAAGTAATATTTATTGAGGCAACAAAAACAAACATGGGGTGAGAATGAACATGCTGCAGATCAGTCCCCACAACACCACTAATGTCTTTTACCACCTCGATTGAAGGCCAAACGGTTTTGAGAGAATCTACGAATGACTGCAAACGAGTGCCAGAGGCTTTTTCCCTCGGAACACACATGAAGATGGAAGGAGATAATAACTGCCTTTGCAAAGACTTGGCCCCAATTTATACAGTTGAGAAGTAGTTGTTTTGTGAGTTGGTGTTAATGTTTGCCCCAGGGTCCATGATGCCAAGCAAAAATGTAATGCAATAAGAAATAGACCTTTCAATAGGGTCATTTTCTGTAAAGTATTTATTCATTGACTGTATAGAAAATGTGCTATACCATGATTTTTATGTGTAAAATGTGAAATAAACTGTATAGATTGAGGTTTGATTGCACAGACTTACACTGAATTTATGTACCATTGGTATTTTTAATGTTGATTTCATCTGCGTTGTGTTCACAGGAGCATGGCTGCCTTTGCAGGGATGTGTGACGGAGGCTCGACTGAAGACGGGTGTCTAGCAGCCTCTCGAGATGACACTACATTAAACGCACTTAACACTGTGAGTAGCCATGCAGCAAGTCTATCCCTAGGAATCAAATCTGAGCAACAGAAACACATATCCATTCAGTCTCACCATGTTTCAGGTATTTTACACTAAGCTAAGATGCAGGTGTGCAGTGCTGGGCTATGAAAAGGCCCCTGAGCCAGCAGAGTAGCCCCCTGTAGTAAACCCATCCTCATAAGCTTATAATACATTAGGTTTAATGAGAGATTTGTCCATCACGTTGGCCATGAATGCCGAGGAATCAAGCTCAAGAAAGAGATTAGAATCATCATAAACAGGGCATTTATATTCCAACTCTATAAACTGGAAAATTAACATAGCGGGCAGGTCATTGTCTCTCGACCTTCTTAGAGCAATGCTTGTTTATTCTCAGAGGAAGAGCTCCAGCACTGCCTGTTTCTTCCAATTTAATGTGACACAGGGTTTAAAGCTGCACAGCAATTGCGTTTGTAACTGTGCTCTTTATTTCCTTGCTGGTTCTTACATATTTGCACAGCATTTCATCTGATGTTTGGACTCTGGTTGATGTTTCTTGTAAAAGTAAAGTCAGCTTGTTTTACACATCAGCATAATAAAATGTGTCAGTCCGGCTCTAAATGTCCCCCAAGCGTGACTGTGAAGATGTTATGATATATCCATGATTTTCTTTTATTATCGGAATGGTGGGCTGATGTTATTTTGATTGTCCACAGCTTCATGAGAGCAGCTATGATGCAGGCAAGGCTCTCCAGCGCCTAGTGAAGAAGCCAGTACCCAAACTGATAGAGAAGTGCTGGTCTGAGGATGAAGTGGTAAGAGAACTGTTTGTTTTTTCTTTTTTAAATTGTATTACTTAAATAATGATATAAATTAAATGATGTACTGTAAATTCTTTCTGTAGTAGCCTGGTATTTCTTGCACTGATACCTGCTGTCTGTCAGTGCTTGGTTTGTGTCTTTAGAGGGAGCTGTTGAGAGAGAGTTAAAACAGAGCTCTTGGCTCAGTCACATGAGACGTCAGTGAAAACTCGTCAGTTTCCAGCTCCTCCAAGGCTGAAGAGCAGCTGCATCCTGTTTACGACCCGCAGAATAAATCTTTAGCGTGGAGGTCTGGAAAGGGGAAAAGATTGAGGGCTGGTAATGTTAGCCTCCATTTGAATTTAGATGTGAATTTCACCACAGCTGTTGAAGGGCTGGAATCAGAAAATGGCAGCCCCTCTGCCTGATCAAACAGGGAGGGTTGCAGGGGAATGAGAGTGGTGGATGAAACCGTGTCAAAACGACCGAGAGCTGCGGCTTTGGCCTTGATGCTTTATGACACACTGCGCTACACATTTGTATACCCACTCCCTTTAAAGATAACACTGCTGACTGATCTGACGGTCGATCTAAGAAAAACACAGGGCCCCACCGCTGAAAATGCTTTGGTTGGTTTTTCCTCCTCCCGGGTGAATCATCCTTTTTCCACTTTGATATTGTTTTGTAATGCTGAGGCCCAGCAGTCTTTTCTCAAGCTTTGAATCCAGCGGCTCAGATTCAGTTGTTGTGAACGGGTGTATTTATCTTGAAATTGAACATGATGGGCACATTTGAATAAAGCCAGAGCCCACGGCAGCACCACAACAAATTAAGTCAGCCTTCCTTTTGTGGACGAGTTATGAGTTTGCCTTTATTTATGCATGCTCACTGGCGCCAGGCTAAACTGCTGTGAGAAGACGATCAGAGCGGAAGGGACAGGCTTGTCGATGAGAAGCTTAATTGCCACACTCCACCACAGCAGGTCTACCACAGACCACCTGTCAAAGAAACAAGACAGGGGCTTGACAGTAGAATCTGTAAACAACTTGTTTTAGACAATAAAGTGGTCATATTTTTCCACAGTGTTGTGATCCTGATATGATCTTGAAGTGTAATTGAAGTCATTTATGCACGCTTGGGAGAAAAAAACAGTACAACTGAAATCGGCTTATGATGCCACAATACAGCCAAAGCAATATCTGATTTATCTCTTTTGCACAAACTATGAAAATATAAACACTGTTTCTAAATTTCTTTTAAGCTAACTTTGACATTTTTATTTTGTATATACACCAAAACTAAGGCATTTGTATAAAGCCAATATTGGATGATATATGAGTCTAGCTTATTTATCGGTCTCGAACTGTAACACAATTTAGCAAAATTGCATATATACATATTGCACTCATAAATCATCAATTTAATTGAACCTATGCTCCACTGTTACATTACATCATAATAAAAATGTGCTTGCCTCAAATTTGTACAGCAGAATGTTGTTAATATGATATAATCATATTATAACAATGCAACAATAATATTGGAATTTGCACAGATCCGTATCCTCTGTCCCTTTAATTCTTTAGCTTGCGTCAAGGCAAATTCATTCACACAGGAGCTGTCAGGCACTTCTGCACACAGTGTTTGACATGTTCTGTGCCAGCTGTGTGTTTGTGTCTGAGCGGAGGCAGTCAGTGGACCGTCTGTGCTCCACCTGCCCCACAGTGTCTGCAGCATCTTGTCTCTGGCCAGCCAAGGACACAGCTCCCAGTGATTTGATCGCAGCTTGTGCCTTTTGAGTTCTGCAGCCTTGAGGGATGGGTGTAAATGTAGCAACCAACCTTGACACACTCACAGAAACCAGCCCCGCTGCTCTTCATTTATTTATCACCTCTCACTCAGCCCCCCCCTCTTCCTCCTCTCTTCCGCCTCCATCTCGTGCCCTGCAGGACTAGCTTCATTATTCCTGCCTGCTCTTTTTTTCCCCAGCCCACCCTTACTTTCGTTCTAGAGATGTGAATAAAAGTGACAGCGGGGGCCACTGAAATGACACTGAAATCAGCTTGTCTACAGGGTCACTTGTCACCCTTCCCTACCCCCTTTGACTTCTCTTGCAGCACCCCCCACCCCAACAGACACACATACACACACAGAAAGATAAGACCACTACCATGATCAATTGTGAGCCATTTCATTACAGCTGCAGATCAACTGACAGCGTTGCAGAGCAGTCGTTTCATTTTTATTTTCCTCTGAGAGACACATACATTTCTTTCAGCATTGAACAATTTGTGACAGTCGAGCTCCGAACGTTGTTTCACTTTGGATCATTAGCTAAACTTTAACAAATTAAAATACCATCTGGTATCTGAGCACAAAGTGTTTCATTCACCAGTAAGGTGATGGCTGTAGATTACAAGACAAATAATTTTTCACCAGAAACATCTTCCGTGCAGTCGAGGTTTCTTGTAGCTGTTGTGTAGTCATGGTTGAGGAGTGTTTAATTTAAACGCCAATAAAAGAGAAAATGTGATCTGTTATTGTCGGTGTGTGAAACACGGAACTGTCCTAACTGAGAGGCTATCTCACTACACCACTTTGTGTGTTTTATCTGAAGCCAAATCAATGCTTACCGACTGCACTGAATTCTCCTCCCATCCTTTTTGAGTGTACAATTGTCTTGATGGTAACAGAAAACACTTTAAACAAAAAGCACATAGATTCTTTCTTTTTGTTGCTATTGAATTTTCCCACTGATGCGCTTATTGTGGAGTAGCAATAATGTTGCAACACTGGATAATTCCCCCATTCAGACCACGTCGTGTTTCAAAGCATGAAACCAAAATTAGCTGACAGGATATCAACAGTGGGTACAACCTCAGAAAAATCCTGTTACAGCTTGCTGCTAAATGAAGAGGTTGGATGACTGAATCCTGGGTTACAGCTTGTCTTTGCTGATGCTTTCTTAGGAAGTTTTGTATTTAAATGCATGCAGGTGCTAAACATTATAAAATAAATTTCTATCTCAGATGTTGTAGAAGCCTTAAAGAGGTAAATCAAGTTAATATTCATGATGTGATCAATTCTTACTAGATTATTAGACAGTGCTTTGAAAAATAGAAAAAAAGGCAATTGAATGTTGCATAAGTACGGTAGGTTTACTCAGTTATTTATCTTTCAGTCTTAGTTGTGAAAGCTATTATAATATATGTAGCTATCATCATATTCTATTATGAATGCAAAATAATTTGATTTTAATCTAACATTTTTTTATGTAGATGCATCATATCAGTATTTTCCAAAATGACACAAATGACCTCATGACATTAATTCTCTTGCACTCGCTCTTCCTTTAGCCTGTGAAGGTGAAGGTCTTAAAAAGATTCTTTCACTGGCAATGAAAATGTCTCTGTGCTCGAAGCTGCCGTCATTCCTGACTGTAGATAAGTGCTGCTAATAATGCATTGGCCAACAGGAGGTGCCATATAAACAATCAGCAGCAGCAGTCGTGCTGTGTGTCACCATGTCAGAGACAGAGAGGCAGATCTATGACTGCTGAGGAGCGGTAGGTCTATTCCTCAGCCAGCTGCACTGTGCCGCGGCTTATCTCTGGCTGCGACTTCAGCTGATGGATGACTGGAGCGAGCCGACGACAGCACTGTGATGGGAGAGGAGGGAGGACGAGGGGGTATGGGAGAGAGCGCAGCGGCCCCCCAGTGGTAGAACACAAGCCTACAAACCTGAGCTACACTGCCCAAGCAAAACACGGCAGGCAGATGAAACGAAGCATGCCGCCCTGCATCCGCTGCTGCTGGCTGTCGAATTATTTAGAAGTTTAATGAGATGCTTGATTGAAGAGGTTCTCATCTCCATAGGGAACTCTGTTTGCTGCTCCGAAGGTTTTGTGTCAACAGGGTATTTTATTACCATTATGGTAGTTTGCCAGCAGAGCTTTTTAGGGTTGTTTAGTAACTAAATAGCAGGCAGGATGGGCGTGCGCTGGAATTTCCTGTTACTTTTTGTGTCCATACAAAGCAAAGGAAGCAGATGATGTGACTTAGCTTTGCCAAAGGTTGTCAGAATACTCTCATATTTATATTTGATTAAATATAAATATGACTTTTGGTCTGCTAAACTAAAGTAGTTATAACCACAGAAAATATTTTCTGTCTTTTAAACATTTGGAAGGAGTTTGTAATGTGTAAAATCAGCATAATTTTTGTATATCTAAATATATATTTAACTGCATCTATGGTGTCAGTGCAAAGAGGATGTGGCATGTCTACCATCTGTCTCCCTCTTTCTGTCTTTAAGCATGTTCTGATTTCCTTTCTGCGTGCGGTGGCCAAACTTATCACAAGCTGATATTTCATAACAGGCACAGCAGTGTTTTTTCACTTCAGTTTTGGCTATCTGAACAGTTGTCCTCGGGCCTCTGGGTTTATACACAGCAGACTCGGAAAGGTCAGCTTTTAACAGCGAGTCAAGTACAACGACTCCATATTGAGTGAAAGCGGCTTTGTTTGCTGTTGGACGGCCTTGTGTCTGTGTTGTCATGGACTGACATTTAGCAGAATTATGTTCCATGCATGAGCCTGCGCTCTGTTTGTCCTCATGATACCATCTTTGTGCATATGTCTGCATTATCTTAACCAGTTTTACAACTCCTAACAATCGTCTCTCAAGCAGGAAGTGCGCATACACAACAAAGGCCTATTGAATCATTTTTTTTTCCCATTCTCCACCTCCCTTTATACGTCTCTGCCCCAGCCTCACAATAGTGCACTGTTCGGCAGGGAGGGGAAACTTGGGGAGGGTGAAAAGCGCCAGCTCTCAACTCTGAGAGAGGAGCCTGTTGTTTCTGCACAGCGGATGGCCATTTGGTAGAGCTTCTGGCTCTCTCAGCCCCTCCTCCGTTGCTGGGTTGCCTAGCAACGGAGGGCTGGAGCAGGGGCAGAGCGATTCAGGGAGCAGATTGGCGGATGATTTATTAGCTGGGCTGGAGAGCAGTGAGCCCAGGCAGCTGAAATGGAGCCTTAAACTGGAGCCGACATGTAGAGAAGGGAGGAGGGAGGCAGCAAGAGAAAGAAAACAGAGGGGAGGAGGAAGAGGGGGAAAGGAGAGGGGGAGCATGCACACAGCTCCTATGTGGAGCTGGACTGACTGACTGAGTAAAAATTGTACTTTAGGAACTTAATTACGACACCAAGACTGCTCGGGCAGTTGTCAAAGCAGATCTAAACCTCAGATAAATATTTCTGCCTCCACTCAAACATTTTCGAAGCAAATATTTCATTATGCTGTTTGCTTAGTTTTGTCCTTGCCTGTCAAACAGCCATTGTAATGTTGATGTCTGAGTCTCTGCACTGACATTCCACCTGTTGTTTGTGGAAGCTTGACAGTCGTAATGGATAACTACTCTTAAGCCCAAGAGTGGCTGTCACATGTGTGGGAGCGCCTGTGGTGGAGACGGCTCCATCTACTGGCTAATCAACCGCTATACCCTCAGTCTGATTAATGCAAATTAGCTGCTGTCTCATGACACTGATAAGAAAATGGCCTTTTTATTCAACTTTTGACTTGGCCTGGCTATATTTGATTATTAAGCCTGGTTTGAATTAGACTTGTCTAGTTTGATCCTTTCAGTTAAACACTAAAACTCTCAAACATGAGACGATTGAGTTTGTTTGCATAAATTGAGAGAAAGATATAGTCTTTTACTCCTGTTGCTGGGATAGGCCTCTTCCTTCTTGTCTGTAATTATTCTCCCAAGAATGATTTGTGTTTTGCAGCTGGCTGTGTTTGTTCTGTAAATTCGGCCTTTGTTCCCCTTCAAAGCTGAGTATGTAAACAATCTGCGGTTACATAATGTACTGTACATCACAGCATGGAAAATAAAACCCTGACACACATGGAAGGTCCATATCTGGTTTTCGCTCTCACTTCTCTCTGTTCCACACAAAGTGTATCAGGCTGCCTCCACTCTCAGGCTGGCAGCTCGTAGAGCCTGTGCCTCTGTGTGCATGCTCACCTCCAGCTCTGAACGCATTTAAAGGACCGCTGTCATGTCCTCGTAGGGAAATAGAATTAGACAGCTTTGGTGTAGTGTTTATTAATAGGCAGTGACTTCGGGTTTGTTCCTGTATGGGGATAGAGACATGAAGCCTGCTCATGCAGTGCTACAGGATCGAGGACAGGCTGAAATGAATCGTGTGTCTGACACCAACATGAAGCTCAGGACTCCACTCCAGGTTTTCCAGCCTGCTGAGAACCAGAGGCTCTCTTGCAGAAAGATCACATGTAAAGCCTTCCCCTTTGTAGTGGAAGAGCAGAGAGTGACAAGCTATTTCTTGCTTGTAAAAAACATACGGATAAGAAAAAGCAATGTACCGTCGGAGACATTGTGGATTTGCCCCTAATTTTTCCTTCACCCAGCCGTAGAGGTTTGTGCTGTGCTCCCTGAGGACTTTTCTCTGCTTTTTTGCTGGAGTTACTTGGTGGAAACGGTTGGCTGAGATCACTGAGGGACGCCTCTGGAACAAGAAAGTAAATCTGTTGGTTGTCTGCTTCGCTGGTTATGAATGTTTCCAGCCTCCGCTTTTTATGGCTCGCAGCCTGTGGCTCTTAAAGGAGAAGAAATCTATTTAGGTTGTTCAGCTTTTTGGTATTTATTTCATTTTGATGTTGTTTTCATGCTTGTCGAGGTGAGGTGGCGTTTTCAGATTCAGTTTTCATGGCAGATTTAATCCGCTGTTATGAAGTTGCAATTCTTTTCATCGTGCTGTTCATTTACTTTTTCTCCAGTCAGGGTAGATTTGTCAGTTTTCCATTTTGACACGTTTTAAAATGTCCATAATGTGCACGCAGCTGTGGAAAGTTTCCACCATGCTCAATCAGAAATGTACTTATTAAACTCTCAAGTTTAGGTTTTGACTTTGATGATTCTTTTTTCTACTGTTTATCTTTTATAGTCTGAATTTTTTTGTCTGTATTATTATCGTTTTTGTCCAAATGAAAAGACGAGTGTAATCTTAGCGTCTCTCCCTACCTCACTTGTCATTTCCTCTCGTTTTTGCCCTGACATAGCAGTGTGTCCAGACTTTAAATGGCTACAGTGGTTTCTAGATACACATAAAACCTCTCCAACCACAGACAAGTGAAATGATGTTTTTTTTGTGGCATTGTCAGCCAGTAACTTCAAGGGGTAGCAGTTTAGCTGACTTCACAGACACTAACTGGTCTTTTTTTCTCTCTCTTCCTCTGTGAAAAATTGCAGAAGCGCTTCATTAAAGGATTGAGACAGTTCGGTAAAAACTTCTTCAGGATCCGGAAAGAGCTGCTGCCCAACAAAGAAACGGTAAGAGGAATTTTGTGTGTGTCATTTGTTTTGTAGTGCTGAAAGATGTAAAAAAAAAAAAAAAGAGTGATAAATAACAGTATGATCGGACAGTTTCACACAACAGTTATAGTGTGATATTTTGGGCACAGCTGGGTTTTAACTAGAGGCCTTAATGATAAGAAGTGTGTGCAGCCTGCCAACAACTGTGCTGCTGTATTATCAGCTCTCTCTACAGGCTGCCTGAAAGCAAATAAAACACAATACACCTGAGGAAAAAGAAAAGGCTAAATGCACTTTACAGACAGCCACTGAAACTTAACAAGTGGCACTCTGAACATTAATTAGCACCCTCTGTTCGCAAGTAGTAAACAAGTTGTGCAGATGTGATGAGAGCCACCGTGTTTATGGCACATCTCGAGTCTGAAGAGCTGCATGTTTTTGTCTCCTGTTTATGCTCGAGTGTTATAGGAGCACTTGAGGTTTAGTTTTTTTTTTTTTTTTACATTGTCATTCTGAAGTGCAGTATAATTGCTTCTTTCACAATTAAAAAGCGGGTTACAATTTAACAATAAACATGGAGGCTGGTACAGGAAATAAAATTATGTTAAGTATCTGATGGTATCAAATTTAGGTTGGAACAAAAAGACAGGTGGCAACTGAAATTACAGCACTTATTATTTCAGACAAGGACCAGTCGATAATTTTACATCATATAAATTCACATAGTTTGAGTCAAAGTAAATAATGTGCAGAATTGTTTGTGAACATCACTAAACATCCTTTAACAGCATCAGAAAATGATAATAACTTAGTATTATTACTAACTAATAGATTTTTTTGGCAGTTTGAATTTTGGTGGAAGAATAATTCAGATTATTGTGGCTGTAACAGTATTAAAAACACAATTAGTATTTCTGGTTGTTGTTCCTGCACTATACTTGTTTTCTTTGTCGCTTTGAGCTTTTGTCAGTCACGACAAAGCTTTTGATTTATGGTAGATAAAGTGATTAATATCTTGTCACGGTTTGAGGAACTCTTGTAATTGTTTTGTTTTATGTACACAAACTGAGGGATGTTCCTCTTGTCAGAGTTTCCCTCCTCTGTGTGCGAGTGGGATTGTGCGCATGTGTCACTGTGTTAATCATCAACTGTGTGACCTGTTTCATGGTACAAATGGGTCAAATCCAGGCTGAACAATGATTAACCCTATTAAATTTAATGTTCTTAAACAAATGACAGCCAACACATACACTTTGTATTGCTCTACTTTAAGCTGACGTACATTATTTTACTCTCTGTCTCATATTACCTTGACATATAGGGAACATGCTGTGCATCTACAAGTTGCTTTAAAGTCCTCCACACCTTTGACTTAGCTGTTTGTTAATATTGTTAGATATGCATTTTTATTCATAAAGCAGCGCTGACCTTGCTGTTCTTGTGAAGCTGCTCCTGCTGGAAGTGTGCCGACACAGACATGAAAAGAAAATCAAAGGTGTTAGTCATACTTCTCACCCACTGCATTTCCTCGTCTGCTGTGAGCTGAGGATATGTCAGCCCTGTTTCTCAGACACCCCGAACATAGCATGTAATATTTTCACTCCAGAGCTCTTCAGTGTCATCTCCTTTGTGCTACATTTTTTATTCCTCCAAACCAATTTCAGCCTCTTGAATAAGAGATTAAAGTGTGTGAATACAGTTTCCTCACAGAGGTTTCTTCAATTATTTTTACTGGTTTTAAAATATATGACTAGTCCGGTTGATTGGCTATAAAGCAGGTATTAATGAAATTCAACCTGAAGGGGGAGCCTTCCTGGCAGAAGAGGTAATAGATCTCCACCAGGATCTTGGCCTGCTACCACCACAGAGCAGAGAAAGATTTCCCCCTGCAAATGGAAAATAAACTGCTCTTTAAACATGTGAAAAGAGGAGAAAATGACTAGAAGAGCAAGGGGAGGGTAAAAGAGACCGGAGGAGAAGGGGTAGGATGAGGTGTTAGCTCAATATAGACACTGAAAAGCCTGGCTTGTCACACAGGGAGAAAAAAAGCTTATGATTGAACTTGCGTTCTTTTACTTTAAGGCTTATTTGTGCAAGTGCTTGTCAAAACCCAGAGAAAACTCCATTTATTTTCTACCTGCTCATTCTTAAATCCTGTCTCTGAAATATGAGCACAACAAAACCGCAAGATATTTTAGTTCTTTGAAATGACAGAGATTTTCCTATTATTCCAAGTCATAGACGCGCATTTCTGTTGCTCCGCCGCCCGGCCATCGGAAAAGGAGCATGTTGTAGAAATGCCGGACCACTGTTGTTGAGCCATTGTGCAGAGCTTAAAGCTTTGGGCTGATATCCAGAAGTCCAGTACAATGTGTCTGCCCATCTCTGTTCCTCCCACTAGCCTCCATTAGCTGCGCTGCCCCAGAAGCGCCAGCGAGGCTCGAACAGCCAGTGCCAAGGGTAAGCACCCAGTGCTGTGTAAACACACCAGGCCTGACTAACACTCAGGAATGCTTTATATAAAGTCACATAAAGGCCCAGAAGGGGGAAGTGGGTGTGTCGTCTGACCGTCTGCAACTGGCTTTGCTGCCACCATTTCCTCCACTCCAGAGAGGACGTCATGGAACACAAGCTCACTGCTCCCAGTGTTTTAACAGCTAAATATGCTGAAATGGCAGATCACAGATAACTGTGCGCTTGATATTTTTACTGGAGAGCTTTTCTTAAAGATGTGGTTTTACAGGATATCAGCACACAATATTTGCTGAGGTGATTTGTATCAGTTCTCTACAGCTGAACAGGGAAATGACGGCAAAAAAATAGATCAAATTAAAAAGCTTTAGTTTCGGGTTATTTTCTCACAGGACAGAACACAGGCATTTTCATTCATGGAAGGTACAGCAGTTATCTTATAATAAAAGTTGTTAAGAAATTAATGTGCAATTAAGAACATATTATCAAAACTAAAAGTTAACTGTTGGGGGATAAGGCTATTTTCAGTAAGTTAAAAGTTCCTCTTTACTGTGCTGAAGACAAAAAGTAAAATGCATCACTGAAATCATGTTCTGCACAGCTTTTCTCATCGTGGCCCATAAGGGAAATAATACATTGCATGAAAATAAAACTAATTTATTTACTTTATATTCTCTTATCAGTGGATTATGTATTTAAAGATCATAAAAATACCTCACAATAAATTAAGAGAGAATATGTGTAAGTTCACTTTTCCCTTCAGGCTCAATTTTTACATCCTGTTTTTTATTCTCATGACCAAACTGCTTTTCTCCACCTTTAAATACAAAAGCACACTTATAATAGCACAAAATTACCACTCGTCTGGTTCATTTGGTGAAATTATTTGAAAGAAATTGGACATGAAAAAGAAAAGACACAAGATTGTTTATATTTTAGCATGACAGTCTGCTGGTACTTGCACTTTTAAACTTGCATAGATGAAAAAAATAGAACAAAACACTGTATTGATGCATTGAGACATATTTATGCATTATTTGGTTTGGGTCAACAACGCAAAAGTCAAACAAGTGTCCTCGGATGGCAAACCACTGCAAAGTAGCAAAAACAATTTGAAAAATAGATTCTTTGTAATACTTTACTTGATTTAGCAGCCGTTTATGCATTGTATTGTAGTATTGTTTTATTATAAGGTTTGACTGTGTAAGGTGACAGTACAAGGTACAAAAGTCACAGTGGCTGAAGAGCTTTTTATAATTTTCAGAGCATATGAGTGACCTTGGCTAAAACTACTCCTTGTTTGTGTCAGCAACTTTTCTCTCGGAGAAAACGGAGCACTCGCACCCCCCCACAGGCCCTGTCATTTACAAGATGGCCAACAGGAGAACAGTGTTCTCAACACAATCTCACAGCAGATGTTTGCCCCAGTACAATCTGTACGAATGTCAAGTTGAATTCATTGCCATGTCCTGAGCTCAGCAGCCAGAACCTTGGGGATGAGTGTAATTATAAATACTTTGGTTCAAACACTAATTAAACCAGCTACAGGGGCCTGGTCCAGTTGGCAACAGCTGTCAGTGGTGTGACAGAACAGCTTCCGTGTTTGGTAAATGATATAACGTGTTTAGGCAGTTGTTGGCTGGTGGAGGCCCAACCAGCGCGTATCAATGTTCTTTTAGCAGACCACAGGCAATTTAGAAGGGGCCGAGTGTAGGCAACATCTTTTTCTAAGCGTAATAGATGAAGCCCAGAGAGCTCCATGTGTAATTGAGTTCTTTGGTGGGCTTCTTGTTGTGGTTTTTGGGGACTAGCTTATCAGCAGAACGCGCTGGATCAACCCTCCAGCAAAGAGGCACTGTTGCCATCCAATCTGCTTTCACTGACAAAAGCGCTTACAGCAGTAAAACATAAGTGCTGATTCTTCAGCATGTGCATCCCTGACCTGTGAAAGCAGAGCTTATTCAGTCATTCTACAGCAGAAAGGCTCCGCGCAGCAGGGAATGGCTGTCTATTTAACCGCCTTTCACGTTCTCCATGCTCCACCAGCCGAGGTACTTTGACTATTCAGTTGCCATCGTCTGCCGCTGGGCTTATGGGTGTCACTGTGTTGCCAGGTCTATTTTTGAGTCCACTACATACATGTGGTTAATACCTTGAAGTTTTTACCTCTGGATTTCATTTCACAAAACCTCTTCTACAAATCAGCTTCTGCAATAGTAATAACACAATCTAAAAACATTTTTTTAGAAACTACAATTCAGAAAGAAAAATTGGAAAAATAATTCATGAAGTTGAATTTAAAGAGGGCACCACCTTTATTTGGCTTAAAATGTATTTATACACTTGGTTGTTTTTATTTCTCCTTGTATTCTACTGGTAACTCAGGTTGCAGGGGTGTTAATCTATCTATTAAACTAGACACTTTATTAATGTTTAGTTAATATTTTCGTTAATTTAGTTAAGTTCTTCATAAATTACAAAACCAGCTTCTTGCATCCAACTAACCTACTTTATTTTACGTGATGTGTTAAAGCATCATTTGTATC